CCCCTTTCAGACTCATTAATAGATTGTTTCGTTCATTTGTTCAATAATTCATTTATTCATCAAATATTCATGGAGTACCTACTATGATTCAGGCATAAGGCCAGGTGCTAGAGATTCAAAAATGATTAAGACAGAGTCTGTGACTTCAGTGAGGTGTGCCAGTAAAATGAGGCAGAGATACATGCACTCAGGAGCTGGCAACATCAGTGGGGAGGTGGTGTCAACAGCCAAGGGTGGGTGGGAGAGCAAGGGAGGATGCACTCTGCCCTCCAGTAAGCGCCATCACTACTGCTTTACACAAAATGCCAGATCGCTGCCTTCGCTTTGGTGGAAGGTACAAAAGCACAGGTAATGGCTCAGGGAAAGCATAGAACGTGTTCAGAAGATACAAATCTGTAAGGCATGGGCAGGCAATGAGTGAGGGATGCTTTGAGTTTTCTAGTTCACACCTCACTGGATCACAACAGCATATCACATGATAGGGTAGTTACATCTCCTTTCTTAAAGCTCTCTCCCTGTGATCCCTGTCACAGCATTCCTCCTTTACTACCTCCAAAATGAGTTCAAAATTTTTAACATTAGCCAGGACACTTCTTTAGCTTCTGACCTGTAGCAATAACTGCCTATGTAATATGTCTTCTTGGATAATTTTTCAAAGGCAATTCAAACTTATGCTCAGAACTGGCCCCAGGCTCTCCCTCCCCTTGCCCTTACAAACCTGGTCTTCTTCCCTTATTCCCTATCCCAGTGAGGGGCACCAAATCCTTCCTGGCACTTACAGCAGAGGCTTAGAAGTCTCCCTAGACAGCTATGTCTTCCTCCCCTCCAGTCCTTACCGATATCCAGCCACTAGCAATTTGTATTGATTTTACCTTTTAATATCACCTGGATTCCCATCACAGCCTCCTGTCTGGTCTCCCAACATCAGCTCTGATTCACTTCTAACCTGTTTCCATTTTGCATTCAGAGGGATCATTACAAGAAGCAAATCTGGGAATGTTACCCTGTCACTTAGAAAACCTCAATGGCTTTTCCACTGCTCTTCAAATGAAGAACCAAGTCTCCAAGGTGGCCTCTGAAACTCACATGACCTGGCCTTCGGCTCCCCTTCAGCCACACTGTCTTGCTTTCAGTTCAGTGAAGGCCCATGTTCCTTCCTGCCACTGGACCTTTGCACATGCTGGTTTCTCAGGCTAGATCAACTTTCCTCCTCATTATACTTCCTTCACGTGGGTTGCACCAGTTTAATCATTTCCAGGGAAGACTTTCCTGACTAGATCAATATTTCCCATTAACTGCTCTCAGACTACTTTTCCTTTCAATACTTATCACAATTATATTTTACTTATAGAACTCACTATTTCTGTCTCTCTCATTAGACTGTATATTCTAGGAGCGGGATTTCTTTTCTCTCACTATTCTAAAACTACTGCTTAGAATATTGACAACAGCTAAAAAATATTCCTTGAATAAATTCAAGATGAAGCATGTATGCATAGGCATTCAGCCATCCTCTGTAACTTACTGATTTCCCTAAAAAGTAGAGGGTCTATCACGGTACCCTGTGATGGAGCTACCACATCATGCTCTCTTTTTGATGCAATTTGACCAAAAGGCTTTATATATGTTCCAATTGCTTCCCCAGAGTAGTACCCACCCTAGCCCCTTGGAAAAGCACAGCTCTGCTCTGTTTTTACCCATTGAGAGAAAGAAACGCTACAGAAGTCTAGGTTGGGTTGAGGTCAAAAGTTTTAAGAACAGAACAAAACATTCATTCTAATAATGACATCAATAACATTTAACTACTTTTAATATTAGAAAGAATTTACCTCTTGTTTACATTTTATCTGTATCAATATTTTCTAGAATAGACAAATACACAAAGCTTATATGACCTTTTTTTTGAGGGGGGGGTTCTTATTTATTTCCAAAACCCTTTAAGTACATTAATTTTCCCGGGCTTCAAATATAAAGTGCTTTCCCCTAGGTTCCATTTATGAAAAAACATTCTTACAATTCTGTAATTATTTGGAGTTCTGTATACTCAGATATTTACAAGCAATTAAAAAGTAATAGGTGACACCAAAAAAAAAAAAAAAAGGCAACAAAAGAAGAGATTTTGACTTCACTACAATTATAAATGTCTGTGCCTCAAAGGACACTTTGAGTAAAAAGGCAACCCACAGACTGAGAGACATAATTACAAATCATGTATCTGATAAGGGTTTAATACCCATAATATATAAAGAACTCCTACAACTCAAGTACAAAAAGACATATAATCCAATTAAAAACTATGTAAGGAACTTGCATGAACAGTTCTACAGAGAAGATAAATGAATGGCCTATAAATACATGAAAAAATGTCCAACATCATTAGTCATTAGGGAAATGAAAACCACAGTGAGATACCATGTCACGCCTACTGGGATGGCTAGTTAAAAAAAAGAAAAAAGTGCCGGCAAGGATGTGGAGAAATTAGAACCCTTGTACATTGCTGGTGGGAATGTAAAATGGTACAACTGCTGTGGACAAACAGTGTGGTGGTTCCTTAAAAAGTTAAATATAGAGTTACCGTATGCCCAGAGATTCCAGTTCTAAGTATTGAAAGAATCGAAAGCAGCATCTCAGAGACATATTTGTATACCCATATTCAGTGCAACGTTATTCACAATAATCAAAGGTGGAAACCACCGAAGTGCCCATTAACAGATGACTAGACAAAATATTTGCTGTATCATGTTCCATAAAATCACAGCAAACACTAGATTAGCAAATATTCAACTATTCCTCCTGGGGGAAGTTTGGGGTAATGGTCCTTACAACCTCTGGTCACATTTCATCAACTGATTTATATCTGATGATGTTTTCTGTATATTTCTGCTTAAAGACATCTTACTAACATACATTCCTGGTTTCTTAACATTGAACTACAGCCAACAGAACCATAACTCATGCTTCAGTGATGATTATCTGGCACACGTATTTTCTCTGTGAGGCACATCATAGCTGTCTTGAATTGAGGAACACTAGCTGGCACTTCAGCACTATGTCTACAGTGAAATCACCAAAAGGCATGAAAACACAACGCTGTGGCACTAAATAGACTGTGAAAAGGATGACAATCTATAGCAGGAGAACTGAAACAAGATGGTGGAGTGGCCCCTTGTGTGAGCTCAGCTGCAATGTGCTCTTGGCAACTCAAATTCTTTGTTGCTCTGCATTTGTCTGTGAATGACCATGAAAATCCTGTGAGTACTGATTCTGAGATTACAAATAAATACAGTGAGCAAGCAAGTATGCAACTACTGAATCCACTAATAAGGACTGACTTGATATATCTGTGATGGAATATTATTCTGCCACAAGAAGGAATGGAATTTTGATGCACACTAAATATGGATTACTGAAAATATCAGACTAAGTGAAATGAGCCAGGCACAAAAGGACGAATACTATATGATTCCACTTATATTAAATATATAGAGTAGTCAAATTCATAGACCAGAGGTTACCAGGAGCTTAGGGGAGGGACAATGGGGAATGATTGTTGAATGGGTTTAGAGTTTGTTTGGGATAATGAAAAAGTACTGGATATGGATAGTGGTAATGGTCACACAACAATGTGAATGTAATTAATGCCACTGAGTTGTACACTTAAGAATGTAAAATTTTATGTTATACACATTTTGTGATAAAAATTGATAGATGTATTAACAAGATTAAATGAGTTGTTTCAATCTGTTAAAAATCAAATGCTGAAACACTGATTGCACTAATAGAGATTCTTATTTACCCACATGTACTTTCAAAACAAGAACCCTGTTTAGTATGTTTTTTCTTCTGGTTTATAGAACATATTTTAAAACAGCTTTACTATTCAACAATATCAGTTGATTATTGAGGAATACAAGTTAATGAAAACATGCATGTCGGCTGTCTGGCTTTATGCTTTTGGTGAAAACTGATGCAGTACTAGAATTATTCTAGTAATTGATAAATTGCCAAAAGAAGGCCACCTTGAGAACCAACAACTGATGTTTCTAATTTATGTTTGGAATTAAATTGTCTTTGCAGTACATCACATGTGGGCGAACTGGTACTTTCAGGTAAATTACTACTGGTGCTAGTGAGGTATGTTGGCACCGTCTATATTTTTAATCTTTTGCATTAATTTTCTTGCTTTTATCACCAACCTATTTCTCATCTGCCTCTTCCTGTACTGAAACCCCTATTCTCCTATCACTAGAGAGAGCCATCTGTTAGAATATGGCTGTGGTTACTATCATAATTCAAATATTCCCTTTTAAGTATTTCTTGACCCAATAATTACAAAGAAGCACTGCTAGCTATAAACATAAATAAAATGTGCTAATGAGGAATGCAAACAGTATTAAAATGTAAACTTAAAATAGGAAGGAATTTGTGGCCAAAGAAAAACCGATTACAATTCTTTCAGTCTTTTAAAATGTATCATAAAACTAAAAATGTTTCGCTACAGAATAACATTTTGGCTTCTTTTATGATGGCAAAGAAGGGTGATTACGATTGTCATGAAAACACATTGAGCAGCTGTATACTGTTAACAAAAGAACCATTATATGATGCTCGTAAAAGCTGGCATTTTATACATTCACATTTCCTAGAAATTAGATCGTCTTCCCAATTGGAGTCGATACCAAAAGAGACTGTTTTCTATTAATTGTGGCTTTGTACCAGTCAATTTTCAGAGCCAACTGGATCATCTTTCTTTTGAGATATATCCTACATACTATTATATGGAATTTATATATACTGATTTATATATACTCAGAAGTGTACAGTATAATGTTGCAAAGAGTAATTTTTAAGTTCCCCCAAATCTGTAAAATTTTAATGTTAAAAGGTGCCAGTTTCAGTAGATTCTTTCACAAATGTACATCTGTTTAGATATTATTGAAAAAAAGCATAACGAATAACTCTGCGGTTTATTTTATGAAGGCTAATTAATAGGTACTTACTCATTAAAGACTAGGTCTGGTGCAAAATAGAGAAATTGGCTGTTCGTATGTTTGTACGATCTCCAGCTCAAGGCAAATGATGATAGACACATCCAAGAATACTGGATTAGGGTAATTTGGTCCTCAAGAGGCAAGTTTTTAAATCCTGAAGAACAGAACAATTAATCACAGAAATACACTTAGCATTTAAGTATATTCCAGGAAGACGCTTCTTAAGTCAATCCTAAACAGCCACCTTTCTTTCGCTTTTCTCTTCTCTAATAGACTCGAATCAACTCAACAGTCATTTATGGGCACCCAACCACAGGCCCAGCCCTGTTCCACATTTCATTTTAAATTCATCCTAAATTCTTGATGAGGGTAAACTGTCAGGGCAAACTAAAATTGCAAAGTTCAGCGAGTTTCAGTGTGGATGACAGCCTAAAACCCTTGGTTAGGTTGATAGAATTTGTATTAACCTGCAAAACTTGCTTGATCCCACCCACAATTAATAACACTAAAATAAAGGGTAATTTAATAACCATCAACCCCTGCGTATCTGCAATAATGGTGGGAGATTCCATTGTTCATGAGTTTGTGGTGCTTAAAAAATTGAGCATGTGGTGCCTCCTATGGTCCAGGTTGATTCCTGGATGAGACTTTGATAAAGTTCTGTAGTAGAACATGTTTCCTTGGCACCTGTCCTCCCTGCCTGCCTGATTCAAGCTCTTCTTTTGCCTTTTTTTTTTTTTTTTTTTTTTTTTTTTAATTTAAGATGGAGTCTCATTCTGTCTCCCAGGCTGGAGTGCAGTGGCATGATATTGGTTCACTGCAACCCGGGTTTTAAGCGATTATCCTGCCTCAGGCTCTCAAGTAGCTGGGGTTACAGGTGCCTGCCATGATGCCCAGTTAATTTTTGTATTTTCAGTAGAGTCGGAGTTTCGCCATGTTGGCCAGGCTGGTCTTAAACTCCTGACCTCAAGTGATCCACCTACCTCGGCCTTCCAAAGTGCTAGGATTACAGGCATGGGCCACTGCACCAAGCCTCCTTTTATTCTTTTTTTTTAAATCACCCCCGCTGTCCCCAGGGGCACCATGTTATTCTACCTGTGGAATTTCACTGGGCAAGCTTCTCTTCAAAGAATCAGTCAGTGGAGCTTTCCCAACTTTTTCCTTACAACTGCTGGCTGAGCACAGGTAATCTAAGAAACTGCTTTAGATTAACAAACTGAGACAACATAATGGCAATTTCTTTTCTTTTTTTGGTTTTATTTGAGACAGAGTCTCACTCTGTCGCCAGGCTGCAGTGCAGTGTCTCGATCTTGGCTCACTGCAACCTCTGCCTCCTGGATTCAACTGATTCTCCTGTCTCAGCCTCCAGAGTAGCTGGGATTACAGGCACATGCAACCATACCCAGCTAATTTTTGTGTTTTTAGTAGAGACGGGGGTTTCACCATGTTGGTCAGGATGGTCTCGATCTCCTGACCTCGTGATCCGCCCATCTCAGCCTCCCAAAGTGCTGGGATTACAGGCGTGAGCCACCGCACCTGGCCTATAATGGCAATTTCTAAGTGATGTTTCTGTAGATTAAGAGGAGCCTTATTAATTAAATTCCATGAAACAAACAAACAAACAAGACTAAAATAGGAATTTCAGGGACAATTTAAAGGGTGCTGGAGGCAAGGTGATTTTTTTTAGACAGAAGAGCCATTCCAGGTCTCCTACAACTTACTTGGTAGGCTCTGGCTTACTTGGTCTACGCTTAGATTAAACCTCGTTATGAGCTGCTAATGCTGGGTCAACTTGTGATTTCATGAACAGAATGTATTTTACCTAATTAATATTTTTGGATGAAATTTTCCATTTTGATTATCAACATAAGAAGTGTATCTGTCATTTTAACAATAAAATCTTTAATCCTGCATTCTCAGAAGAAATGAATACAGTACCCACATTTTTCCTACACTTGATCAATTTGCTATCAATTAAAATATGTGGTATCAGGATTTCATGGAAAGCTAACTCCTGCTGCATGGTTTGAGATGGTGAAGTCGGTTGTCCAGACTTGTTTAGTTCAGGATGCAGCCTGTCAAAGGAGGGGCAATCCTACCTGGAAGTACCTTTGCCCACTTCACGACTTGGATCATCTGTTTGCCTGCTAAGCGGTTGAGCGTGGAGAGCAGATTTTCGGCTGTGTCTGGTTTTGAGTTGTCATAGCCTGCATACACAACTTCGGGTTCAATGTTTTCAAGGACCATAGCGGGGGAAGGCGTGAGTGCTCGTGAGATTGCGGAGAGCTGAGGAACCAGCGCTGTGTTGACGGAGGGCTCTTTTGCAGGTGCGATGTACGTCGTCCCTTCCTCTGGGCTTTGCGGGGGTGGGGGCGGGGGTGGGGGCTGCTGTTGTGGCTGCTCCTCGTGAATACCTTTTAACTTTCCCAACTTCTTTGACTTTCGTGCTATAAGAAACCATAAATGATAAGGCCAAATTAAAATTATGTTGGAAATTTATTGACTTACATTGGTTAAAGCACAGTTTTCTTCTCAACAGGTCTTGTTACATCAATAGGAAGACGACTGTTTATTCCATTAAGAGAAAATGTATAAAGCCCAAATATTATTGCTTATTATGGGTATTAGGAGAACACATTCCTTCCTTCTTTCATTCATTTTACAAATCCTTATTGCCTGTCTTCTATTAAGAGACTGCATAAGCTACACAAGAACCTAGCTAATATGTTCAGTGTAACCAAGCCTTACCTTGTTCTCAACAGGTGTTGAGCCCAGTGGGGGGAAGTTAAGAAATGTACCACCAACTGCACCAGTACAGGCAGAGATTGGTACCATGATAAAAACGAAAACGGCTACAATTTATCAAACGCTTACGAATGCCAGGCACTGTTCTAAATGCTTTATGTAAATTAATCAATTTAATACTTTTATACTGTTGTCATTCTCATTGTAGAATAAGGAAATGGAGACCAGAAAGTTTAAGAAATATCAGAAGACACATCTCGTACATCTGAAGTAGATTTCAGAGGAAGGATAAATTACTTCATATGCGAATATGAGGGGAGGTGGGAGAGGTTAGAAAGTAGATGGGTAGATGGGTAGATAATTGGGAAGACAGATGAATGAGAGAATGGATTTAAAAAATAAAGTTCCGAAGTGTCAAACTGAGCTTAGGTATGCGGGAATCACTTAGGTTTCAACTGTAACATTTCAATTTATTTAAAATTTTTAAGGAAACAGACACTTCTACTTAATTCTAACAGTCATAAGGAACTTACAGGACACAAATTTAACACAGAATAGGACTATGTTATGCCAATTAACTTGATTTAAAAATAGAGTAATTTCTGTTTACAATGATAGCCATAAATATTTATCATATTCATCACACAAAATTTTACAATTCAGATAAAAGATAAGCCATCATCCACAAAGAGCTATATTAAATATTGAAACCAGGCTTAAAAGATGAATAAGACATAAATCCTGTCTTTAAAAAGTTTAAAATTAACAAAATTTTTAAACTTCAATAATTTATAGACCGTCTCTTTAGTAAAAGATTTGAGGGACAGAAATCTGATTTTTAGAACTGTTTCAAGGAAAAGCAGACATATCATATTCATGTATGCTAATGGAAGATGCTGACCAAGTACTTCCAGGAGTGCTGAGCCCGCACTAGTGACTCCAGATACTTCTGATGAATGGGTGAGTGAGCAAATGAAAAATACCCAGCAAAGTGCCTCAAAAACTAGACAAAACAGAAAAGAACCAAGCACCCAGGTAATCTAAAAACCTAGTCAAATGATGACTCTGTCAGAGCTTAATCAAATTCTCAATGGCATTAACCTGTCTTTGGGGCAATTAGATAAACTCTTCTCTAAGTCTCAACTGATTCATATGAAACATGGGCATGACAATGTTTCCCTCTCTTACCTATCAGAAAATTAAATGGGTATGATGAATAAAAAAACGTCAGAAATGATCAACATCTGAAATAATATGTCAATGTCACTTCCATTCTTCCCCCATAATTTCTGTATTAAAAATATTCCAGCACATTAAAATGTTCTGATCCTTTGTAGGACCACCTCTGATGATAACCATAATTTAATTGACTAGAAACAGCCAAGGGTGCTATTTTCAAATTTTATTAAAAGTGATATTTGCTTGCAAACTAATGATAAAATTCATACTGCTTTTCAGTCTACAATGCTGTGCTTATTCTCATGGCTGATTTAGGGTCAATGTTAGGAAATATCATGAAGAATACTTAATATTTTCTCCAGCACTTATACACAAGGCTGTGGTCTGTAGCATGAACGTATAGAGCTGATTATCAACGTCACAATTAGCATTTCAGGTACATTTAACTTTATGCTGTGATTTTGTGAATATATGTAGAACACTTGGAATTGAGTAATAACCCATATCTTCCCCCATAGTTCAAGATAATAAATATCTCCAGTGTGCACATTCTTCAGCCACAGGTATTTACCCAATATATTTTCTAAAAGCACCAAAAATATGGTTACATAATTAATTGTATCACTCAAAGTAATGTTTCTAAAATGAATATTTTATGTTGTTCCAATATATGCTGCATTGTAAAACTGAAGCTCTTCAAAGAAGCTTATAATGTCTTATGTATCCCTATCACATCATATCACTTCCCATGATGCTTATGGGTACTCAATAAAAATGTCTGTTGAACAACTTTACCTTATTTTGAAATTTTAGTAAACTTTAACAAACTATTACATCTATAAAGTATTAGTTTACTTCCCTGTGGGAAATGTGGGCAAGCTTCTGATATTTTAAGATAAAATTTCTGAATTGTTAATTATTATTCCTTTTCAAAATGTCTACTATGTAATGACCCATTTGTGGAGTCATTACTCCTAAAATACTGTCTCTAAAATAACAATAAGCTAAATGTATTTAGCATTTCATGTTCCAAGCACAGTTAAAAAGAGCTTTTACATGTTTTTAGTGTTCCAATGCTTACCATGACCCTATGATAGACACTATTTTCATTTTTTGGGTGAAAAAACTGAAACACAGAAAAATGAACTATTTTTCATATTGCAGAGGTAGTAAATACCAGGGTGAGGATTTGAATCCAGCTATGGCTCAGAGTTCACGCTGTCAACCTCTATGCTACTGCAATCTATCTTCCAAACCTTTTCTCTTTATCTAATTTGTATATATTTTATACTTTAAGATTAGCTAGCATAAGCTTCAAATCCAAGTGTATAATTAAGATATTTGCTAATTACACAGAAACATTGTTGGCTGAAGATATTTAAGAAAGATGTTTCTATTATCTAAAAGTATCAGTGAACATACATTTGGGACCTTACCAGTATGTAGCACCTTACTAAATAAATATTGAGTTAATGGCTATTACACTTAGTGATCTCATGTTCCCAGGTGGCCAGACACACACCATCTTCTCCATTGCCAGCAACAGTAGCTGTGTGTGTGTGTGTATGTGCACACGTGCAGGGTACATTAATATGACTCTAAATGTCTCCCAGTCCCAATTAAACTCACTTAAAAGAGGAGTTTCACTTGTTCTACCTGGATGTTATAATAACTAGTACATGCTTAGTGGCTACCCTCAGGTGCCTCGTCCTTAATTACTAGCAACATTTTGGCAGCCACTCTTTCATGGCACTGCTGGGAGACAAATCCTTAGATTCCCGAATTATTCCCTGAGGAACTAGCATTGGCGAGGCCCTGCTTCCTGTCCTGACTGATCTGTGAGAGAGCAGGCAGAGCACATCTTTGGGGGATTCCATTTAAACTGTGAAATATTTCCAATGGGATCTCAGGATTCTTAAGAGCTTTGAAACATGACATGGCAAGATTTCCTATTTTGCACTGCTCTACCTCCAGAGGTGGGTATGACCTGCTACATACCCTTCTGACAAGCCACTGTTGTGGCTGAATGATGGCTGGCCAGGACTTTCACCATGTAAAGATTCTTTACTCTTAGAACTGGTAATCAGGACAACTTTCCCCCTCTGGAGTACAGTAAGAGTGATGTATAGTAAAATATGGAATCTTGTTCAATTATAATATTTCATTAGAAGAAAATAAAGTGAGAATTCTGTCACTGCAAAAATGCTTCATGCCATGCCTCAAATTTTTAGGTCCTAGCAGTAAACATTACAGAGGCTATATTGAGGTTATATTAAAATATATATTTTTTCTGGTCATAGGCCAAATGTCATTACTGCCCACAAAACAGTAACAGCATCCTCTCCCCTTGCCCCCACTGCCCACTATCCTGTTTAACAGACCATTTCTCTTGTCACTCTCATACATGGGGCACTGATTCCAGCCCAATAACCCTAATTGTGCTTTCCTGTTTTCCTCATCTCTTTATCTGCAGGACTTCACTTTGCCTTTCTACTGTAAAAGGAGGAGTACTCTCAAAGACAGGGGGCAACTAAGTAATCTAGCCATGAAACCAAAGGAAGCCATGTCATCCTTCTACAGGCTTAATAGCTAATTTGCACTAATAGGAAAAAGATCATCTAAATCAATCCTGATGCAATATATACCAATAGAACTGGGTCCCAGAGCAATAATTAGCTTGTCAATTGATTATAAAGAAGTAGCATATTAATTGTTTATAAATTCTCTTAGAGTGGTTAAAAATGTAGAATATAGGCTGTTTTTTTTTTTAAAAAAAAAAACTCCAAATAGTCTCAGAATAATCTATATAATTTAACAAGTTAACAAGCATTATTGATTTTGTAGACATAGAAAACATGCTAAGACAAACACAAATCCAATCTTTGACCACTTTAAAAAATATTCCAGGTACTGCCCCCAAGATGGCCGAATAGGAACAGCTTTGGTCTTCAGCTCCTACAGAGATCAATGCAGAAGGTGGGTAATATCTGCATTTCCAACTGAGGTACCTGGTTCATCTCATTGGGACTGGTTGGACAGTGGGTGCAGCTCAGAGAGGGTGAGCTGAAGCAGGGCGGGGCATCACTTCACCCAGGAAGTGCAAGGGGTCAGGGGATCTCCCTCCCTTAGCCAAGGGAAGTGGTGAGAGACTATACTGGGAAGAGCAGTGCATTCCAGCTCAGATACAGGCTTTTCCCATGGTCTCTGCAACTGGCAGACCAGGATATTCCCTCAGGTGCCTACACCACCAGAGCCCTGGGTTTCAAGTGCAAAATTAGGTGGCCGTTTGGACAGACACCGAGCTAATGGCAGTTGTTTTTATTTTCATACTCCAGTGGCACCTGGAACGCCAGTGAGACAGAACCATTCACTCCCCTGGAAAGGGGGCTGAAGCCAGGGAGCCAAGTGGTCTGGTTCAGGGGGTCCCACCCCTACAGAGCCTAGGAAGCTAAGATCCACTGGCTTGAAATTCTCACTGCTAGTACAGCAGTCTGAGGACCAGCGATGCTCAAGCTTGGTAGAC